TGTTGAATTTAGTTTTAACATTATTTCTTCCTTCATGCTCTTTTTGTTCTCAGAGGAAACAGATCGGTGTCGCAAAGAAGGAATAAATTCATGTTTCAAAATCTGGAAAAGTCCAGAATTTTCATGCCGTTTAACAAGATTTTGTTGTTCCTGTATTCCTGTACAAACCAGTATTTCACAAAACATAACTATAGTGTTTAAAATACATAATGAAGCATGTCATGTATTTAGGCTTCACTGTGGTTTTGACTGCACTGTTTCCTTTTGTCGAGGGTAACCTACACTGAGCTTCACTATCTGATCACCATCAAAGTGAAAGATAAAAAAAAAACTTACCCAAAGTAGACTCAGGAAGACACAGAGCAACAAGTGGTCTGAGATAAGAGATAAAAGCTTCATCGTCTTCAGGACTCCTAACTGGCACACATACTTTGAACTTGTTCAATTCCTTTGTTTTCCCCGGATAACCTTGTAGCTGCTATTTTCAGCACCTCTGCTGGTATGTTGACAAAAACCACACTTAAGCTTGGCAAAGAATTTCTCTGACCTGCACTATGATAACTTTAATTCAAAGTTGTTGACTTTAAATTCTTAGTTGCATCCTCCTCTTGTAACCTCTGGTCCCTTTTCATATTGGCAAGTGACTAAGTAAATGGCCTTGTACAGCTACGGAGACCTTTGTAACACTTGTTACTTACCTGTTACTTCCTTATTAACGGTCATGCTGTGCTGCTTATCAAAGGTACGTCAATCAAGAGCATTTGCCTCTTTTACATGTTTATTGGAGGTAATTGCTGCAAATAAAAGATGAAAAGTTTTTATTTATGATCACAGGTAAAGTTGTGAACTGCTACTTTGAATAAGAGATATTTGTATTGTTTTATTTTAAGAATTTCCAGTTTTTTTAAGGTTTTAAGTAAAATCACTGTTTAGGTTCCTCCGCTGATTGCTTTCACAGCAGAGTTTATCTCCTTCTTGTGTCTTAGCACTGTCTCAGAAAGTTGTGATATTTATAGCTTCCTTGTGGTTGATCTCAATAAGGAACTGCAAACAGAAACTTACCCTCATACTGTTAACTGCGCACAAAGTCACAGCAGTCTTTATGGTGTCATACTGTATTTTGAGATTCATAAATGATAATAGTTTTCCTCATCTGTTAATATGGAGTCATTTCAATTTTTGAGCTTCCGTGTCATACTGAGGATAAAGATAGCTCTTTTTAAACAAGTGCAGACCACTTTGTCTTGTCCCTTCTCTGTGTGTCAGTTGTAATTAAGCTGATGCCTAGTTTTGTGATGCAGTGCACACTCCGAGCAAGCCTATATGGAGATCTGCAAGTTGGGGCATACCACAACTCGGGGGGGGGGGGGTTAACAGATGGAATTTATTATGTTAGTTTTAGTCGGGTATTTGTGTATCATTTTATGCATGTTTGCGGGCTGATCAGCCACTTTTTAAGTTTCCCCTTTGTCTCGATTAGGTAGGTCGGTTTCTTTGTGTTAGTAGTACTGTTTTTTGCTCGCTGTTGAGTAGAGTTCTGTGATTTTGACCTCTTTTATGGGCCCAAGATTGAGATTTTTCTATCCAGTTTAACCAACTTAGTTTTGGGGTTAAATAAAAAACAAACTCTTTTTTGGACTTCAACCTGTGCCTGACTTTCCTTCACTGCTCGGTCCATCACAACAGTCTATTAAATGGGGGTGCCTAAAGAGCCAGTCGTTTCCTTTTTCTCTACTTCAGGGAGCAGTTTTCTACCTTTCAGTCTTACATGTTGCAGCCCTACGCCCCCCCCCCCACTCCCCACTCTGTCATACGACACATGACTTGCAAATAGGGATGGGTATTGTTTAGGTTTTATCTGATACCGGTGCCAAACCGGTACTTTTGAAACAGTGCTGTGCTTAAAGAATGGAGAACACAAACTTTGTCCAAAAACCTCTTATGTTTAGCTGTTTTTTTTGTAAAACGATAACAATGTTAGCCTTTTCTGCAGCTATAGGGCATATATGGTATCACTCTTGGCTGGAAGCAGTGCTTAAACAATGGAAAAAAAACACAAACTTTGTCCAAAAACCTCTCATATTTAACTGTTTTCCACTTTTTCTTTGGTCATTTTAGCCTTTTTTGCAAGGGTGAAGGGAGTATCTGCCATCAAACAAGAAGACAGCTGCATGAAACTACGACGGTGTTTGCTAGTTCACCTTACATGCATTAATTTTATAACGCGGTTAGCCTACTCAACGTAAATTACACACCAATAACATTAAGCTACTCACTCAGAGAAGAATGGCTGCTGCTGCCATCATCATCCATCATCATTTCTGCTACACTGGCAGGACTAGGAGCCAGGACTCTCCTCTTCGGGTTCTTGGGGAATGTTGCTAACTCCGGGTCTGATAACAGGCACCACACCCGCACTCGGTGTGAGATCTTGCAGCAAGCTATCAAACACAGCGCATTTCTCGGCTTTTAAAAAAACGCTATGCGTCGCCAGGTGTTTCATCAGATTCGAAGTGTTACCTCCTTTGCACAGTATCACCTTAAAGTACTTCAGGGCTCTAGAGTGCGACCAATTTGGTCGCAAATGTGACCAAATTTTTCAGTGGTGCGACTAAAAAAAAAATTTTGGTTGCACCTGTGCGACCAACTGATCGGGTAGCAAAAAAAAAAAAAAAAATCTGCAACCTTCCCTGTGGTCATTAACAGACACACATTATGCCCCTATCGTGGACTAAACCAATCAGAGATAGTAAGGGGCGGGACCTCTCTGATTGGCCGTGGTCCAGTTGAAAGTGCAGGTGGTGAGTAGCTTGAATAAAGCGATATCAATTCATTAAATCCTGAATCGACTTTTAATGTGTTTTGCCAGAAACGCCAGATTCTCAGATTAAAGCTCACAAAACCATTTCAACAACAACCAAACAGCAAATGAGAGCAGGTACACGGATTCCACACAAAGACGTAAACACAGAGCGGACCCGGCGCATCAGAATCAACTTTGTCTTTCTCGGCTTTCTCACCCGACCGCCCGTACACGGACACGCTGTCGGAGCTTAGCGATTCTGATGCGTCCGGTCCGCGCTGCGATTACGTCTTTTTTGAATTCTGAGCTGCAGGTTTTGTCTCTCCAACCAAAATTCACCGAGCCAGCAGCAAAAGAAGCAGCAAACTGCGCTTCACATTTGATCAATGTCGTCATGAATTTTGCTGTTTTGCTTCCATGACTATTAAAATCACACTTCATGCACAGCTAGCTCTCTCTCTATCTCTCTCTGTACTTCAAGAACAGTTTCCCGTCTCCAATCTCTGTTTTCTGTATTATGCATTCACTTATTACCCACCAGTCTACCGTTGTTTATCTGCTATAAAAAGCCAGACCAGGAAAATCTCCTTCATGTTTTTCTGTGTTTTATTCTCAGTTACTTTCACACAAAGGCATCTGCTGTGATGTTCATAATTCTGATGAAGTCAGTACTGATAAATGATCAGAATTATAATATTTCTGACTGTCTGAGGCTAAGTTGAATCGAATCGGGACTTTGAAATACGGAATCAAATGGATTATAGAAATCAGTGATGATACCCAGCCCTAGTGAGCAGCCTAGGCACGACAGAAGTGGATGTAGCTGTAATAGGAAAAGAACTATTGCTAACTTTTCTGTTAAGTTAAGGCCTGATCCTTCTGAAATTCATAGCCAGTGCTCTGACACGGTGTCTTCAATCTTTGAATGCTGAAAAAGCACAGTGTATCCAGAAAAACACATTATATTATATAAATTATTATAAAATTTGTGTGCGCCTAACTTTTGTGCCGGTACACCTAACTTTTTAAAGTTAGGCGTACCGGTACGCCCATGGCAAAAAGTTAGTCTAGAGCCCTGCACTTGTTGACCGCTTCGCCTTGGGCATTTTTAATCTGTAGCTCTGCTCTAAAAGAACGTACATACTTGGGCCCACCTGCAAAGGTAAAATGATTGGCTGGAATCCAAAGTGTATGACGTCTCTGGAAAAAAAGAAAAGCACCAAAATAAAGCACCGAAATAAAGCACCGAAATAAAGCACCGAAATGTGCGCTGCTTTTTGGTCTGGTTACTACCGTTTATGTGCCATAATGGCGCTGGATACCGGTACCCATCCCTACTTGCAAACAATAAAGGGAAATTAATATGGTAAGCTGTGAAAATTTATGAATAATGTTGCTGTTATTGAATGAAATAATAACGAAACAAACCCCTCATGTTCTTACATTTACTTGTTTCTGTTTCTTGATTAGCTAAGAATTAATAAAAACACAGTGCGCTGCTGTCAGATATGAGAGCGCAGATCTTCTTTCTTTAACTTACTGTAAAACAGAGCTTCATATTAAACCTTTACACTCTGCATGTCTTTTCAGTGTGATAAATTTTGAAGAATTTAAATGAGTCTCTTTAAATTGTCATTTAAAATAATGTTGCTGCATCATCCAAGGCCAGGTTTCAGTCAACAGTTTTTCTGGGTATTAGTCAGCCTGTATGCCTTTGACAGCACAGGTAACTTTTTAAAATTCAACTTTAGTCAGAATTTCCTGACAAGGGAGCCCAGAAATGCACAAATATCTGTAGATTCATCAACTGCAGAGTAATGTGCTAACATGGTGACATTACATTGACATTACACTGATATCTGGAGATATACTCTGATCATTATTAGTAACCTTCTTATAAATGTAGCAGTTTACCGTGTAGGGACCTTTTAGTCACAAAGAAGAAATTTTAGTCAGCAAAAAGAAGGTGAGTCTGCACAGTGACAGTTTAAACTGATTTACCCAGCATATGTAAAAATTACAGAGACACAGATGTTGCTATATGATTAGTGAATAGATCTGCAGATTAGGTCCATAGAAGATCACCATAGAAGTGCAAGAGAAGTGATCCTGCTGAATTTTAAATATCAAAATAATCTGAGAAATGTTAAAAAGGTTGATTCTTTTCATCTGGATGTAGCGTTTGAGATTTGATAAATGTTTCATCACCAATCCAGTCTCAGCTTACTGCAGGTTTCCCCAACCTTATAAACAGTACATTTGCACAATAACTGAAACCAGCCCACTGAATGAACAATTGGCTGTGAGGTCAGTTCCTCACGCTGCACCAAAAATTGGTTCACCCCAAGGATCGGGTCCCCTAAAACAAACAGAGTAATATAGTGTACGCTGTTAAGTGCCGGAGAATTGCTATGATTTATACATCAGGGAAACCAAACAACCTGAGAGCGATAACGAGTTTTGAGATGTGAGAGATTTGAGGCGTTAAACGTGTTTGAAGTGTATAGTTTTGTTTGTTTTATGTGTCAAAACAATGAGGGTACCAGTGAATGTCACAGTTGCTTGCCAATAAGCCACCAAAGGCAGATTGCAATGTAAACGCTGTCTCACCTCCTGTTTTCAGGCCTGCAGTTATCAGGCTTGTGATGTGCTCCTCTGTTTTATAGTGGACAGAAACAATTTTTTAGAGTGCCACAAATAATTTGTGTGGCATCTTATTTTATGCAGAACACCTGATTTCTAAATAAATAGTTTTAAATGTTTATATTAAAAACGGCTGAGGGATTGGCTGCATTTTTAGGTAATTAGCTGCATATAACTTTGTTGTTTGCAAAACTTGTGCATAGGTTTTTAAAAAATACAATTTCTTTTTGTGTTTTAAGTTATGAAAATAATTCATTAAACATGTTTGCCATTTTTACAGTAAAAAATATTAAAAACTTTTTTTCTACTCAGACTGTATTTATTTTTTGTCTGAATTTAGAAAAAATGACACTAAATTCAGACACGTGAGGTTGTGCTGAAAAGCATGTGGGGAAACTTTCTGTTGACCGCAGCTTGATGTATAGTTTGATGCACTAGTTGATGCTGTAGTCTGATGTTGCAGTTTTGGACAAAAATTGCTGTAATATTTTATGAGTTGCAGTCATGGTTTTTTTTGCGCAGTGTGTGCATTTGTATTACATTTGATCCAATGTACTGATTTGTGGGTCTTTGACAGTGCAACATGGAATAAAAGGAACAAATAGCAAAGAAGTGCATTTCAAGTGTTTATTGTTGCACGTCGTCAGTGTCCTCATGTTTACCCTGCTGTGGCTGTTGATTTAAAGAGCCGCAATATTGAATAAACCAGTGAACGCTTTCTATAAGTGGAACATTAGAATCAACAAACCCCTAAAACATAACAAAGACACCTAATCCCCACATTTGTCACTTGTCTATATGTGTGAAGACTTGATAACAAATCCACCCTTCCTAACCATCATCTGGTGCTAGTTATTTTTTTGATTATGATGACCAAATCCAGTGATTTGTTTCATGGGCTGTCTTTTGCAGGAATCAAGATGAATAACTCAGCTAACTGATGCCAGACTGTAGTTATAGCATTTAATCTTATTAGTAATATGTGTATTTGAATTGTTAAATAAGTCACACAGTGCATTCAGAAAGTGTTTTTTTTTCCTGTGCTAGACATTTTGTTACTGGTAGCTCATCATACAATTATATACATTTTTTTTGTTGTATGCTATGTTTCATGATAGGCCAAATTTTCAGTTTTTGGTTGGTGAAAGTTTGGACTTCAGGTAGGCCAGTTCAGCCCCTCAACTCTTCTACTTCAAAGCAGTGCTTTCGTAATTAGTGTAGTATGTGGTTGACCATTGTCTTGCTGAAATATGCAAGGCCTTTTCTAAAGAAAGATGTCATCTGGATTGGAGTATATGTTGCTCTAAAATGTGTATATACTTTGCACCACTGATGGTGTTTTTTTTTCCAGATGTGAAAGCCACCAGTTCCATTAAACTGAGTGCTGACAACAAGCCAGCTTTTGTGAGACTTTTTCTTTTCTTTTTTAAGGTATGTTTATGTAAAGTACATCTTTTCAGTTTAGGACTTTCATTCCGAGCCTGTGGTATATTTACAGAAACAAAAAGAGCTCCAGATTTGCATCGATAATGTCTCTTTGCATTTCTCCATTCAGTTTCTGATCAGTCTAAACAGGTTTTAATTAGTTGAAAAACATTGCTATAGTACAATGCTGCCACTTTTATGCTGCACTGTATTGAATCAGAATCAGAATATCTTTATGTCACAACAAAATTAAGTGCAGTCCCTGCGGTGTCAAGGGAAGAAAGTTTAAATATATTTACAAAATAAGTATAAAAAAAGAGTTATAACACAGTCATTAGGTCGTAAATAGAACCCTAATCCACATAAACACTCTTGCGCAGAATGTCACCCATTGCACAGTATTTGTCAGGTTAATTGTTGATGATTACTTGTGATTATTTGTAATCAGCTAAAAATAACCTTAAAAGCTAATCGGTACCCCCCCCCCGCCCAACTGCTGATGCATAGAACTGAGACCAACCATCTGACCAGTGCCATAAGATATGTTGGAGTGCTGCACTGAGATTGTTTACAGGATTTCTGAAGCTTACTCAGAATGATCACCAGATTTTTGGTCACTTCACTTTCGGAGGCCTATCAGGTCATTAGTTGGCCAACCAGGCCAGCTCTAGGAAGAGTCGTGTTTGTTCTATCTCAGAGCTCCGCAGAAATAGCTTTAGTCTCGTGATTTGAAATTTCTTCTGCAGCTGCATGTGCCTTGGCATTGTTGAGCCTCCTGTCTGCAGGTAAGTCAGGCTTATGCCAAAATGTGCATACAACATAAATGTTTTAATTTAAACTATAGACGCAAATGTATATTTTCACTTTAAAAATAGGATCTTACTGAAAATTGTCTCCTCTCATGAACAACTCTGATCCTGTTGTGTATCTTTCCAGAATCAAATGCTCAGCCTAATGGTAGGTTTGGTGGTTTATGTGTAAACAGCTCCTCGTCTTGCATCCCATCAGTGGCCTTACCCTTCCCTCAAACGCTGCAAGAAGTGGAGGTGCCAGTTGTGGGAAACAGACAGTGTAACTGCCTGAATGGAGTGGGCACAGTCACAGACAACATGATCTGTGCTGGTGTTCTGGCAGAAGGCAAAGACTCATGTCAGGTAGGCTTCCTCATCTCATTTGGTTACATAATCAGGTGTTTCAAAGATTCTCAGATGTGTCCTCTTCATCTCTACAGGGAGACTCCGGAGGTCCAATGGTGAGTAAACAGAGCTCTGTTTGGGTCCAGTCTGGAATTGTAAGTTTTGGTTTTGGTTGTGCTCGGCCCAATCTGCCAGGAGTCTACTCCAGAGTGTCCCGTTACCAGTCCTGGATCAAGTCCCGCATTCGCTCTAATAGTCCAGGATTTGTGCAGTTCATTTCCAGCAGGCTGGACTCTGACAGCAACTACACCTGTCCTGGTCTCTAACAAGACTCTTGAGTCTGAATATGAATGGGGAAAATAAATAAATAAAAATAAATTATATATATGTGTGTGTGTGTATAAAGCTTTAAGACTGGGTGTGTTTGGATCTCACTGATTATGAATCCTGTTTTACATCCACAGGGACATAAGAGCAGAGTCTTCATGGTTACAAGTTGCTGTCGTAACAATCAATGGACGTAAACTGAGCCATGCAGATGTTGACATCTTTACCAAAACTTCGATAGTTGGGTCATTCTTACAGGAGATTTGTTAGTGAAACATCACCTCCTGCAGCACTTTTTAAAAGATGTCACCAGATTACAGAGTTTCCTTATTGCTGCCTTTTGCTGTCATCATTACCTCCATGTTCCTGTTGTCCACCCATTCATATTTATTTAATGTACTGATTATGCTCAGATCAAAACGAAAAAACTAATACACATAAACATTTCAAAAGAAGTTTACATTTCTAACTAGAAAACTTCATTATTTTGAAGTGTTTTGGTATGTTTCTGTGAACTAATTATACATAAATATGTCTGTTCTGTGCATTCTGAAGCTGTTGTCTAAAAATGGTGTAAATTTAAGTACAAAATCAAAATGTAATTCTAATTACATCATGACTATATTGAACGTTGATTAAGCATAAAAATGATGTTTTGAGATATTTCAGAAGCAAATATTATATATTTAATTTATTGATGAACAAAGCAATTTACATAATGAGTGACAGTTTTAACAAATTACAGCTGATTTCTTTCTCAAGCTAAATCTTTTTAAGCATATTTTTTTAATAATTTCACACAAATTTACATTCATCATACTCAAATGATGTTTGTAAAAAGATAAACATAGAAAATGTTAAATTTAGATGTGCAGTCATGAGCATATTCTTGATAAACTATTTTACATTTCCCACTATAATACTTCACAGGACATAATCACTCCATCTTCTCATATACATTAAACCTTCAGTCTATTTCATTTAGGGATCCAAATTATAAGAATAATACATCAGAATTCCTGATGATTTCTATTTTTCTATATGATTTCTAGAGACCCGTGTCCACTTGTGATATTTTGCCTTCAGGTACCTGTGTGATCTAAATAGTTAATTAACAATTGTATTTTCCTGCTCAGACAGACCCTAAAAAACTATAAGTCTAAAGGACTACATATGATATTTCCTTAAAGAAAAAATAAGTTAAACTTTGATGTCTTCAGGTTATTGTGTGGCCTCCTTTTGAGTTCTGACTGTGAACCTCATCATTCAGTAGAAAATGCGTAAATGAGGGAATGATGTCAGACACAGTAAACTGTTTTTTCTTTAGTCAGTCAAGTATATGGGCGTCACTAATTCTACAAAGCTAAAAAAAATAAATAAATCTGCAATACAAGGTCTGGTGGCTGAGGAAAGTAAAGTGAATTAATATTTTCTTATTCAGTTGTGGTTGCACCTCCATCCGTACCTGGACCCTCTGCTTCTTCCTGATTTTGTTTTATCATCTCTTTGTAATCACTCTTGAAATATCCAGCCTAGGAAGACAAAATGTATTGTGTAAAATGATTGTATTCACGTATTAGAGTCGCACCATGAATAATGAAAAGAACTAAAAAATAATCAACGTTTAAGAAATTTAAATCATGTATTCTCTTATTTCATGAAGCTGTGTGAGTGACTGAAAAAACAGAAGTATAGACTTTCTCACCTTGTACAGGCAAACAGTGAATAAAGCAGTAACAGCCAAACCTCCAATGTATCCACCAATTATCTCTTTAATGTAATCTGGTTCAGAATACACTTTTATCTCTTCCTCAATCTAAGAGAGGAATCAACATATTTTAATAAAATTCATCATTTTGTTAACTTAAATGAGAGAAAATAATGTGTAATCACCTTGTGGACAGGAGGATTATTTTTCGTCCACGCTGAAAAGTAGATGTACTGGTTTTTGTCATACTCCAGACTAGCTGTGCTGGTTAAGAGGAATTTCACAGATTGAAATCCAATCTAAGAAAAAAAAAATAGAATGAGATGAGCCTAAATTAGATATGCATTGCTGTTTAATTTACGAAGAGATATATATGGAGTCAGTTGTTTTAATTCTAAAAATATTTACTAATACAACACTTAACATAAAATACACATCAATTACCTGCTCTATCCATCCTGAACTGAAGTTGGCAGAAATTTCATACATCCTACTCTCCCATATTCCCATGAAGGTGTTGCACTTGAACACTCTGCACGTGGCCACAGAGCAGTCCTGTGGGTGATTTAAAGAAGACTGAATGTAACCAAGCTGTGATTCAGAGTAATATAATTTTATATACACGTATTTAGAATTAGGTTAAATTACAGCAGGAAAAGTGTGGAAGCATACTTACCACTACTTTATGTTTTTGTATTTCAGCAACAAATTCTCTGTTAAGTGGTTCTTCATCATTTCCTCTCTGACAGTTTGCAATCTGAAAATAATTTTAAGTGTTTTTGATTCATCCTAATGTTAGTCAGCAGCTAAAACGTCTGACACATAAATTACCTGTAGGCTGCTCAAATCCACCCAAATGTCTTTTTCACCAAGCTTCACTGGAACCCTGATCACCACAGTGAAATTAAATGCTCTGATATAGTTTGTAATCTAAAAGAAAGAAAAAATAAAAATAACCACTGTTAAAATTAAGATTTTATAAATCAGCTTTAACTAATAGTTTGTTTGTTTTTTGTGAAATAATAATAAAATAAAAATGAATTAAATGGTTAATAATTGATGTATTGAAAATTATCTTGACAGTCGATTTAAAGTTGATATGGAGTTTCAAATACATAAAAAGGTTAATAAACAAATTGTAATTTAGATTTAAAAATTATTTGGAGAGCTGTTATAAAGTAGAAAGTGAATGTTATAATATTTGTTTAATAAAGAGTAAATTACAGACAGTATAAAAGATGTAACTTGTGTTTTGACTGCTGCCAATTTGGTGTTATATAACCGGTTGTCACAAGCATATGAATGGATACACATGACTACGACATGTCCACAATGGTTCAACATTAACTTGGATTAAACAGCAGCTTTCGCTCTCTGGGCTCACTGATCAGTAATGAAATCTTTATCACAAAATGTGTCTGATCACCTTTATTTATTACAACAATTGCAGAAATTACATCATAACTAATGTTTAGTAAACTACATTGCTTTCATTGCTTGTTAGTATTAAACTTTACTAAAGGTTACCCTCTTAATAATGAGAGTTAAAACATATAACCAGAAAGACACAATCAAGCATTAGGCTCAGGACTGACACAGTGCAATGAACTTGCTATGTCGATATTAGATGAAGTCATGTTTTTACCTTGATTATTTGTTGGAATGCTTCCTGTGAATTATTCATTCCAGGGGTGAAATTATGGCTGCTGAAGGAGCTTTACATGATAATAAAATAATAATGAATAAAACATTTTTGATAACATTTTAAAGTTGTATTACTTTGCAAATAATTCATGCTATATCAAGTAAAACAGTTCATACCTTTCAAATGTGAGAAAAATGCTGTATTTCACATCAATTGATTTCTGTTTGTAGAGTTCACTTGTAGTGGCATGCTCCTGATTTCCACTGCAAGAGAGAAAAAAAAAAGGTTCTGCATCTGTGAAGCCATTGTATAAATTCAGAGTATCTGTACCAAAGGAACAGTACCTGGTGGCATTTGCAGTGACAAAGATCTCCCTCTCAAGTTGACTGTTTGTTTCAATCCCATATGTGATACTGAAGAAAACCTTAATTGAAATAGAGAGAGATCAAATTGTCTCGTATCTTTTTAATAAACTGTTTAGAAGTGAGCAAACATACTCTGTACAAAAAACAAACCTTAGTTTTGCTCTTGAAAATTGGCTTGTCAATAGTGCAGTCTGTCCTTCCTCGGGATAAACCATCTTCACTGTCCAAGGAGTTGCACCCAATTCTTCCCTTTGTTATAAAAATAAAATTACTGCTGGATGTATTGAAAGAGCAGCAGATCAGTGATGAACTGATACAGACTTGATCCTGATACCTTACCTGCTGACTCGTGAACTTCCTGTAGGAGAGTCCAGCTGGGTACGTGAGAATAACACGACTGTTGTAGGAGTTTTCTCCTCTATTCTCCACTGAGACTGTGACAACCAAAAGCTCATCAATACCCACTTTAACCTCTGAGGATCTGTGGAGTATGAAGCTGGATGAGAATAAAGGCAAAACAAAACAAGACTACAGCTAGGGCTGCTCAATTAATCGAATTTTAATCTAAATTACGATCTGGGCTTTCAACGATCATTAAAAATGACTGAGCCGTGCTCCCTCGTGCTTTACTCTCGCGCTGCTCCGTGTGGCAAATCGAGCGTACCTCTCTGTGTTTCGAACACATGTCACAACAATTAACAGGACCAGAGGGAAGCTCGGAAAGCTAAGCAGAAGTTATTTGCAGATGAGAGAATAATGGCTGCTGAAGAAAGAATGCCATTGGTTGAAAAGAGAGGCAAAACGACTTCAGTGGTGTGGAAACATTATGGGTTCGCGGGGTCAGACATGGATTAAGTAGACATAGTGTGTAAACCTTGCTACGGTGTTGTAGCTGCACCACAGAACAACACTACAAATTGACATACCTCAATGTCAGTTTGATGCAATTGTGCATTGTACATTGCACAGCTTGACTTGATGTTTGGTTATTTGTATGCATAAAAATTATGCAGTATTTTGAAGTTCACTAAACATAGATGTTTACATTTTTCCTTTATTTTTTATATTGCAAACATTTGCACTGTTATCAGTATTTGCACACTATTTTATATTATTTTTTGACAATCTTTAAAG